GTGTGAAAGTTAGGTATATATAGTGTGTGTTGAACAAAAGAGAGCGATAGAGAAGCAAGAGAGGTAACAAGATTGTCTAGAAAATACTTCAAACAACTCAATTATTGTCGAAGAAGTGATTCTTAGAAAATTTGATAAGACAAGCTGTAAACCGAGAGCTAAAAATGGTTCCCATGCAGTAGTTAGTGAACAATGAAACTAATACCGTTTATTTTTTTATTTCATTTTTTCATATTTTACACAAAAGTAATTCATCCATCATATTATAGGGTAAAATAAGTTTACAAACATCTTTAGTAGTGATTAAAGTAGGTTTATCGTGTTAATCAGTCCGATTTAAATGAGTTATAAAAATAATGAAGAATGTGTCTATAAAAGATTTACTTTTAAATAAGTTCAAACCTTAATACAACGCAGGTTTTGTATGATTTAAACCTGTCAGGACAAAGGTTTTGCTGGGATACTCTTCCTGCCATCTATCACTTTTTGATAAACGATTCATGGCAGAATATACTGGGGTGATGTATAATTACGTCGTTTTCTTGACAAAAATGTATTGGTATACCTGCAAAACAGTGATACATTTACTATGTATATGAACAGTTATAATAGGCTCAGCTAGAAATTAAGATTCAAGTAAAAATTTTTGGTTTCAACATAATTTGAATGACAATTTCGGTCACAGCGTAATAAAACTGTGACAGATCGCTAATTGCACTTAACAATTAGCAGTCGAGTTACTATTTTTATATATTTTTCCCCTAAAAAATAATTTTAACATTATGCTTTTATGTATATGACAGAGATTTCCCTTCCCGAAGGATATAAAGTTAATAATTTTTGTAAATACAATAAATACAGACAAAAGAGAAAATGGAACATTTCTGCAAAATATTTGATCCATGCTCCAAATACAGTTAAGAATTAACATGAAGGGATTATTTCATTACTTTAAAATCATCTTGAATAATAAAACGATATATTAAATGGGATTACAAGATTTGATTAAATAAACTAGTTATTTCATATCATACAAACATAGATGATAGTTATTCGTAAAAATGTTCACTAGTATCTTTCGGTGTAGAATTTTCCATACCGAAATTCAACAGAAACAAAACGGGGTTTTACACCAATAATAGCTATGATTGAAATTAATTTTAAACTAAA